CCCATGAATGGAAGATTAGCTTTCCCATTTATTGTGTAAGGATGATGTATTTTAAAATTTGTCAGGGTTGTAGCAGTCTGTTAAAATGAGAACTCAAAACTCAGTTGGGGTAACCTCTGTGACAGCTTTAAGCCATGAACCCTTCAAGTTACTGTAAAGTATTTAAAATATATGCGTTGAAATTGACACATTTGAGGTTTGTGTATATAGTGGATCTTGTTACAGTGCCCCCTGGTGGCAGATTGATTGGAGTTGATAATCATTGTATCACAAACTTTATTCTTTAAGATTTTCCCCCTCCAGCTGGGACGCTGACAGCAAGTCATAACACTTGACTGTACCAGCTTATAAATATTTAACTAGTTGAAATAGGATTATGTCAGCCTCGGTTCACAGGTTTATAAATACACCTGTGGGCAAAGATCAAGAAGTGTTTGAGATTTTTTTTTCACAGGTTAAATTTTCGTAAAAACTTGACAAAATTTGTAAAGTAGTTTTGACTGTTTCTAGTAGCTCAAGGTATGGTTTCTATATGATGTGGCCTATGCAACTTTACTAGAATCTCTTTAAGAGGATTTTGACAGACAAACATGTACATGTACAGGTTTATGTGGATGATCCAAACCTGTAAGTTTTAAAAAGTAATGTTATTGTAATAAATGTGGAATAGACAAATATTTTAAGAGTGGTAACTGTCTCGAGTGCTTTTGCAAGACATCTTTTACAGTATTTGTATAATAATTTCTCTGTTTGTACAGAGTGTTTGGTCCAAATATGAGTTTTACACTTTCTAGAAAGTTTCATATATGAACTGTAGATATTTGTTCGATTATCATATCAGAGGGAACATGTATAAGCCATTGTCTAGAACTTATCTCTGCTGAAATCTATGGGAATCTGATGCTTCCATGCCTCACCTCAGTGCACCTATATCCCAGATCCTCTTGATAAGTAAAACTTGCTTATCTTTTATTCTCCAAAGGCCAGAAAGGAATCTCTTCACTGGGGAATAGCTTTATAAACATGTATACTGGGGACAACATCAGACACAGAGCAAAATTCACATTGTCCTATTCAATAACACATACAGCCAGAAAATAGGACATGTGTCATGCTATGAAACATGCATCATTGCAAACACAATCCTTTGAACAATATTATTTAATTAGTCTGGAAAGTGCACAATTATATAAATTAAGTTATTATATAAAACCCTTCAAAAACTTGGTGTGATGTTGAGCAATTTTTCCAGTAATAGTTTGTTTTTCGGTTACTTTTCCATTTTTCATTTGTTGTTATTTTGAGCAATATCTGTTAATTGCACTTTTGGTTAGCTAATCCAATCTCTGGAACTGAAATCTGTGATGGGAAACCTTGATAAGAAACTAGGGGTGTGTTAGAATGTATAAAGTAGAAACAGAGGTCATAGGGGAGCTAATCTATGATATGATTGGAGTAGAGATAGGAAAGATTGTGGCAGGGAAATGTTGATCAGGCCCAGCTGGAAAACATATTTCTGTCTTGTTTATATCACCTCCCCTGGTATGATAGTCATGGAAAATATGGCTAAAAAATTATATCAAAATATCATATTGTATGTACATCAGAAGTGTATAGTGGAATGTATATGAGTTATTTATAGTATCCAGACATGTATATTATATTAGGAAAGATAACTTTTATTTATGGTGATTTTACACTCAAAATTTACAATGCTTAAAAAATTTGTCAAAAAAATAAATTTAGAAATCAGCTTATTAATTGGAAGAAAATGATTTCATTCTTTTGAATCGGATAAAATGACCAAAATCATTATCTAACAGATTTTGAATTCTATGATGTAGTTTTACAGCCCATGAAAATCATATTATGGCGTAGCCAGTTCGCATCTCAAACAAGTAGCCCAAACAAGATTTTTATGGTCAGATCATGAAATGGAGCATGTTCCAATACTAAGCTATTGTATATCAAGTAACTGTTGGTTGTTACATTTTAAAAAAAAAAGATGTTTTACATTATTCTCTGTTATGTTTTCTTGTTACATTTGTTATCTTTCTTAACACTTAGCTTGCTTGTGGCACCAGACCCTGACTATGTGACCAGTGCAGACAGCCCTAGATTAGTTGCACGTTGTGCAGTCTAGTCATGGTCTGCACAGCCTTTTTTGAAGTTTTTCAATAAAGACCAAAAATAGTTGGTATAAATAAGTTGATCCATTTCAGATATTTAGTGTGGCAAGGGTTAAATTCATGTTGTGCCGATTCACTTGAAAATTCAAGAAATGCTATTATGCAAATGGAAGTTTGAATAAGAATTGTACTATGCAAACGATGCATTCTGCAGAAAGAACATGAGTAATGCTGTAATTCTACAAGAAGCTGTCAATTATTTTAACATTTCAGAACATTTTCCAATGTTATATAAGTGTCACAGAACCAGTTCTTTCTACAGTTGTCTCTAGTAGCATAGGTCTGGTATGCCAGGTATGTGATGTAACCTTGACCTTGTTGTAACAGATGCTGTAGGTGTATACATATCAACTAATCCCTTGAGTACTGTATGTATTGATGCAGGGGGGAGTTTTATACATGCTAATCTGATTACCTGGCTTCTATTAGTTCTAACATTGATGCTGTGTTACAACTATAGACTCCAATATGATTATGTTGAATAGTTTAGAGTCTTGGGAATTACAGAGCGCTAATGAAGCATGGGAAGATTTCATTCCGAATTCAATTAGCGAAATGAAATTAGCATTGGAAAATGTCAGAACAACACTTTGGGTCTCTGAAACATCTCTCAGCTGGAAGTAGAAATACCCCGGTAGTTGACAATGAAGTTGACAATGAATTTGAACATGAATTACCCAGAACGCTCAACCCAAACTACTCTCAAAGGAGTACAAATGAGTTGGAGTCTGTGAGACACCTTATAATAGATCATGGTCTGTCAGCAATTTTCCTTGGATACAGAGGAGGCTAAAATGTTCCTTACCATTCTGTTTATCTAGGGTACATAGAATACAGCACATCCAATGATGAGATGTATGATATTGTCACCTTTAAATAAGTTCCAAAGCTTGCTTTAGCAATATAGGTTTGTTTTGTTGGTGATCTGAATGTGGTTTAGAAACGAACATGAAGCTTCCACATACCATTCCCTTGTGGTATATACCCAGACAATCTACAGGCTGATATTACATTTTAATGACTTCTACAGACTAATATTAGTGATACCTATGCTTTCTTATATACATAGTATTACACGCCCTTTCTCCATCTTTTGAAGTCGAGAGTTTTGAGTACCTGAACGAAAAACCTTAACTTCGGAATGTACAACGACAATTGGCAAGGTATTAAATTTAGAAGAAATAAACAAACATTAAAACATTTTCCTAAAATGTTTTTCATCAGGTTATGCATTATGATGTTCTGCCATTTAAGATTATTTATTTCTCTTCAAAAAAAAAAAAAATTAACTTTGCTAAAAATGAGTCATGAAAAGGTTTTAAGCCATAAATTAAAGCCAGGCCATCCTTAAAAAAATGTTTGTTTGCAGTAACCCGACCCAGAATTTTCAAGGTGGGTAGGTAGGTCGATTTTTTTTATTTTTTTTTATTTTTTTTTTTTATTGAACTGTACTCCCAAATAAACATGGAATTTCAAAATGCTGAACAATATTTGCTTTGATAATCTGGTAACAATTAATAAATTGATAACTGAATTCTAATTTAATAAGAACTACATTTTATTTCTTCTATTAACCTTTAAAAGAACGAAAACAAAGCACAAGGCATAATTTTCTGATTCAAAAAAAAATAAATTATTCAGACCATGAAAAAAAAAATTTGAGTAGGGGCAAATTTTGTGAGTCGGTCGCGTTACTGCAAACAAACATTTTTTTAAGGATGGCCCCATAAATTAAACACAAAATGAAAATTTTGTCTACATTCCTGTTGGCCTGTCTGAGTGAGAGCTTGTATTGCATATCATAATTTGACATGGTGGGGACATTTTTATCAACATTTTACACACCGTTCATGAAGTACTGCAATCATAAATCATCCTAATCTGGGACCTCTGTAAATACTGGGCATGTTTAATCAATAAAATTAGTGTTGGTCGTTTAACATTAATTGTCTTTAAGGAATGCCCCCTGTAGATTAGCTAGGATAACTTTGTCATAGGCTTTAATTGAGTGACAAAGTTTTGGTAGAGGGATGGATCATGGGAAGGGGAAAACATGTTCTTTTTTTAAAAACAATTTCATTAGTTTGATAAAAAACCATTATAGAGTTATTTTTCAAAGGTTTTGAAATATCTATGTTACAATGATGTCAGGAATCAGTGTCACACATTATGCTCAAAACAGGAAACAGTTTCTATGCATATGCCCCAACAGTATTGTTCTTGTTTGCTGAATTCCTTTTATAAGCTTTAAAATAAAATTTCTGCAAAGATATAGCAGTTTTAAACAGTATGTTATGCTTTTTCGCTGAATATGTAAAAAACCCATGGTGAACACTTTTAGTTACACTTGTCTACATGCTATACGGATTTCCTGCCACATAAAATGTGATATTGATTATGTATACACTGTATGAAAAGGATGAATATTGTTTGCATAAGAAATCAGATCAAATAAACTTAGTTCAATTCAGGTCTTACGTGAAAACTTGAAAGGTCAATATTTTGTAAGGTCAATTCATGAAGAAAAATCTTTGGCATTGATCATGACCATTGGTTCCAGTCATGTGGTCTAAATTAATGGTCAAAGATAGGTTTTATCTTTGATTTTCAAACAAATTCATGCTCTGTTATGATGATGGTAGTGTGAAAATGAGGAAAATATGACCCGTACATATCATCATGTAAAGCTTGTTCTATTCTTTTATCTGATAACGACCCCTCAGTACAGGCATGTCTACAGTTGCTAATTATTGATGTTATGCAGTTAGTCATTTCTCCCCTATCTCGATCAGAATATTCTGTAACATTGTGTCAGTCAAGTGATGGATTCATAGCAGAATACACCTCTGTTTCTCCACCAACAATCCTGAACAAATTCTACACGAAAAGTCATGGAGTTTATAGATTGCTGACATCATCCCGGTTGTGTTCTTTTTTCGTATTTTGTATTTTATTGATTATTCTGTGAATCATCACTTGATTGAAATTTTTTTTCGGAACAATTTTGACCTTGGAATAAAATTCTTGTATTGGTGTAATTGATCTCTTGTCTGGAGACATTAAATTGTGGGCTGGATTATAAAGTGGGAATTTTCTAGTGCAGGATTTTACTTTAAACAACACTTTAGAATATTTTCAAGTTCAAGGTAAGGCACTTAAATTACATCAACGAAAATTAATGTTTTGTTGTATTTATCTGTGTATGTATGAAGAGGTATTGTTTGTTTTTCTAATTTCTTTTATCCCTAAGGTATGTATATATAATGAACCTTCTTTGCTTTGAATTTTGGTTTTGACAGTTTTGAGTTTTAAGAGATTTCAATGTCAGAATACAATGGAATGGAATTTGAGTGGCTCTATGTATATGCACTGTCTGGTCTGTGCACTTTCTATCTGACTTAGCATGTGACTGTACAATTGATTTAGCAATTACTCATTGCATATTTAAAATATAGATTGCTTATAACAGGGAGGCAATATTGATGGCTAAAGCTGAATATAATTATATATATGTATTGCAATGTTTCCCAGGGTGGAAAGTTACAGTGAATACTTGGTCTCAACAATAAAGCTGTTATCTATAAATTAAGAGTTATTATATGTATAGGCACTCTAGAGCTGGATTGGCAGGCGTTCAAAACTTAGTAAATGTTTTACTGATTGTTTGTGTACAAAAGTCAAATTTTCTCTATGCAGCTACAATTTCTTGTTTGTTATGTCTTACTTCTTAGCCAGCTAGTGACTATTGTATTTAGTCATGTGACCAGCAGAGACCAAGATCTGAGCCTGCACATCTTTACTGTCTGATCATGGACTGCACTGTTTGCTATTTAAAGTTATTTTGAAACCCCCCCCCCACCCCACCCCTCCCAATAAAAAAAAGACAGATTGAAATATACTATCATATAGACAAGTCCATTTAAGAGATTAGGGATAATATTCTGAACACTAATAGTATTGATGTCTTGTCTTAATGTTGTCATTGGTTACAGAATATAGGCTAATTAGTACATTGTACACTTGCTGTTGAAATTCTTTGATAATTTGACCATGGACTATTCCGAATTCAAGCAAGCCAAGTTTAGATCAACATGGCAGCCCAAGATTTAGAAGGAAGTTTAATTTTAATCATGAATAAAACATACTTGCGACTCTGTTAGTTTAGACACTAAACCATTAAGATCCAATATTTTCATTGCAGATTATCTGTATAAAGAAAAGTTGGATTTGGTTATAATCTAATAAAGAAAGTTTGGTTTACATTATACACAAGAGAAATAGTGAAAGTTTAAAAGTCAATATTTCAAGTGTAAAATACAATACACACTGAAAAAAATTGGGATTGATTTGATTATATTGTTTGTTCAAAATGATATTAACTGCACACCTTGTACCAAATGTCAGTTTTTGTGCACACTATGGTTTAAACAAGTCACTTTCATACACTTTTTCTAGGAAAGTTTAAAAAAATAAATGTCTGTTTAACTGCAATTTCTCACAATTTTCTGAACAAATACATGTATAATGTACTAAATATATACCAAAATGCACCTCTGACAATACAGAGCAAAATATAATTGTGCATGGCTCCCAAAACCGCCAGTAGAAAACAGCCTTATACACATAAATGTTAACCAAATTGCCCCTGAACATCCAGTATTTGCAGGATTTTAAATGATAACAATCTTTATATGAAAAGACTTTGCTTGTATGTTTGTTTTCATGGTTTTTAGGCTGATTTTAACAGAACATTGTAAGTCGTGTCTCGAAAGTCAATCTACCTAAATGTTATACTGGCTTGCCAGGATAGCTGAAAATAAAGTCAATGTCTGGATTCAGTTGTCACAGAGAAATTAAAAGGATTTTTGATTTTGAATGAAATAGCAATACCTTTGTATACATCACTATATATATACATTCCTTTGTCTCCTGGTTTATTAGCATTTACAAGAATTTGAATTTGAGCTCCATTCTATATACATGTACACGTAATGACATATACATCTGTGATGAAAATATTTATTTCTATTTGATGACAGTTGAAATGATCTTAGCACCTGGTATTTATGATATGCTGCATTATTACACACTAAAACTTAGCAATACAACATTTTCACTAAAACCAATGTCACTGACACTGTAGGAATGGTGAAACTTTGTCCTGTTACTGTTTATTGTCCCCCGCCTTTTCGAAGAAAAAAGGGGGATATAGAAATAGGCTCCGTCCGTCCGTCCGTCTGTCCGTCCGTCCGTCCGTCACACTTTCGTGTCCGGTCCATAACTTTGTCATTTATGAAAGGAATTTGAAATAACTTGGCACAAATGTTTATTATAATAAGACGATGTGTCATGCGCAACAACCAGACCCCTACCTCCAGGGTCAAGGTCACACTTGCTCATTCAAGGTCAACATTGCCTATTTGAGGGTATATGTCGTGTCCGGTCCATAACTTTCTTATTTATGAAGGGATTTTGTAAATACTTGCCATAATTGTTCACAATAATCAGACGATGTGTCATGCGCAAAAACCAGTCACCTGCCTTCAAGGTCAAGGTCACACTTGGAGGTCAAATATTAACATAGTCTGTTACAGGGTATATTTCGTGTCCGGTCCATAACTTTGTCATTTATCAAAGGAATTTGAAATTACTTGACACAAATGTTTGTTATAATAAGACGATGTGTCATGCGCAACAACCAGACCCGTACCTTCAGGGTCAAGGTCGTACTTGCTCATTCAAGGTTAACATTGTCTATTTGAGGGTATATGTCGTGTCCGGTCTATAACTTTCTTATCTATGAAGGGATTTTGAAAATACTTGCCATAATTGTGCACAATAATCAGATGATGTGTCATGCGGAAAAACCAGTCACCTACCTTCAAGGTCAAGGTCACACTTGGAGGTCAAATATTAACATAGTCTGTTACAGGGTATATTTGGTGTCCGGTCCATAACTTTGTCATTTATCAAAGGAAGTTGAGATAACTTGGCACAAATGTTTGTTATAATAAGACGATGTGTCATGCGCAACAACCAGACCCGTACCTTCAGGGTCAAGGTCGTACTTGCTCATTTAAGGTCAACATTGTCTATTTGAGGGTATATGTCGTGTCCGGTCCATAACTTTCTTATCTATGAAGGACTTTTGTAAAAACTTGCTATAATTGTTCACAATAATCAGATGATGTGTCATGCGCAAAAACCGGTCACCTACCTCCAAGGTCAAGGTCACACTTGGAGGTCAAATACTTAAATAGTCTGTTACAGGGTATATTTTGTGTCTGGTCTATATCTTTTTTATAGATCAAAGGATTTTGAAAATACTTCGCACAAATAGTCACTATAATAAGAGGATGTGTCATGCGCAACACCTGCATCCCTACCTCGAAGGTCAAGGTCACACTTAGAGGTCAAAAATTAACATAGTCTGTTATAGGATATATTTTGTGTCGAATCTAGAACTTCTTCATAGTTCAAGGGATTTTGAAATAACTTGGCACAAATAGTCACAATAATAAGCCGATATGTCAGGTACAACACCTGCACCCCTACCTCTTAAGGTCAAGGTCACACTTAGAGGTCAAAGGTTAACAGAGTCTGTTATTTGGTATATTTTTGGTCCTGTTTATTACTTCTTCATAGATTAAGGGATTTTGAAAATACTTGGCACAAATAGTCACAATGATTAGATGATATGTCATGCGTAACATCTGTGTCCCTACCTCCAAGGTCAAGGTTACACTTAGAGGTCAAAGATTTACATAGTCTGTTATAGGGTATATTTTGTGTCCAATCTATAACTTCTTCATAGTTCAAGGGATTTTGAAAATACTTGGCACAAATAGTCTCAATAATAAGACGTTATGTCATGCACAACACCTGCTCCCCTACCTCCAAGGTCAAGGTCACACTTAGAGGTCAAAGCTTAACATGATAGATTTTTAAATTCAGTGTTTCATTTTATTTTTTTAACAAATTTATTGTTACATTTGCAGATCTAGCATTGATCATAATTTTGGACTGAATGTCCTGAGATCCATACCTCAATCTTTTGAAATAGCACAATTTAATGCTTCATATAAAACTCCTGGGGCGGGGGACATTGGTAACTCTGTTACAAATTCTTGTTTTGTACTGTTTCAGTTCAATGTTTTAAGTATTCCATTTCCCTCAGTGGCAAAATCAAACTTGCTGTCAAAGCCCACCTGCTTAGCAATGGTAATAGGGTGGTTGGTAGTAATTAAAATCCAATTTAAGTGTAGCACTGGTGTTCCCCTGGTTTTTAATGGGGTCTAGTTTTCAGTTTTAATATTGTTTGTTATTCATTATATATTAGAATAAATTATAAAGGCTTGAATGTTTATAAAAACGTTTAAAAACAAAAGAGGCTGTAAACCTCTAGATCAAGAAAATTGCAACTTTATTTAACAAAACTGTGTTTTTCAACAAAAAAAAATACATTTAATAACATTCAATTTCAATAATTTAGGCTCTAACCTTTGATTTCTTATTTACTGCAGATATTGTGCTATTTGTTTGGCATAATTGCCCTCCTGAAAAATCCTGCCATGGACTGGTTTGGAAACTTGTACTTTTCTTATGTTTTAACTTTGCAGACTGTGCAAAAATCCACACTAAAAAAACCAGGTTAATGTAAGATGAAGTGGGTGATGTATCAATTTAGTGATTTATGATTTAATCGAGAAACATAGGTACAACATTAGTTTTGTATAAAGTTATGAAGGGTAAAAGTAGGTTAAATGTTTGTTAAGGTTTATTTACTTCACAAGGCCCCATAACCTGATGGATACTGCTGTGAAAGAAAGTGAAAGGTATTTGCCGTCAGTAAAATGCCAGGTCAGCCTGCTTGTCGGTGCAGTCAGACCAGGCTTTAGAGTGCCGGTAGCTCAATTTTAGCATTTCATTATTGAAATCCCTAAAAACTCATGTGGACTGTTCCAAATTTAAAGCAGGGCAAATCCATTACACAAATTCAGTGGGTTAAGGTATAGACATTTCTATGATAGTAACAAGATAATTTGGTGTTACCTGTATAAATGTTTGATATGTTCCAACACAGGTGTTGGCGGGCATATGATAGATGCTTTAACATATACACATTCCTATCTTCAGTTTGCGTTTA